AATAGAATAGAATAGAATAGAATAGAATAGAATAGAATAGAATAGAATAGAAGTAGAGTAGAGTAGAGTAGAATAGAATAGAAGTAGAGTAGAGTAGAGTAGAGTAGAGTAGAATAGAATAGAATAGAATAGAATAGAATAGAATAGAATAGAATAGAATAGGAGGGACCTTGGAGGTCTTCTAGTCCAACCCCCTGCTCAGGCAGGAAACCCTACACCATTTCAGGCAAATGGTTGACCAACCTCTTCTTAAAAACTTCCAGTGTTGGAGCACCAACGACTTCTGGTGGCAAGCTGTTCCACTGGTTCATTGTCCTCCCTATTAGGAAGTTTCTCCTCAATTCCGGGTTGCTTCTCTCCTTGATTAGTTCCCATCCGTTGCTTCTTGTCCTGCCCTCAGGCGCTTTGGAGAATAGCTTGACCCCTCCTTCTTTATGACAACCATTCAAATATTGGAAGACTGCCATGATGTCACCCCCAGTCCTCCTTTTAATGAAACTAGACATACCCAATTCCAGCAACCCTGTTTTAGCCTCCAGTCCCCTAATCCTCTTGGGTTGCTCTTCTCCGCACTCTTCCCAGAGCCTCAACCACTTTTTTACATTGTGGCCACCAAACCTGGATGCCGTATTTCCAAGTGTGATGGGTTTTGCAGAGAGGGTAGTTCGGGGATAGTCTTAAGCTTTTGTGTGTGTGTGTGTGTGTGTGTGTGAGCGTAGCATCTGAAACCTGGTTGTTTCTCCAGCTGCAGAACTTTGAGGGGATCCCGGAAGTGAAAGTGACAGCTTGTTTGGTTTGGAAGGACTGGCCTTATCGTATCCACCCTCACAGCCTGGTGGGGAAGGACTGCAGCAACGGGCTCTGTGAAGTGACCCTGAAGCCTCGAATCAATGCCAGGCATAGGTATATCGCTCCGTCCCTGGGACAGAGGGTTTGGGGTGTTGAAATGATGAGGATGGCCTGTGATGACCCCAGAGTGGGATACAAAAGCGAACAGAGTCACCAAAACAGGTGAAGTCCCTTTAATTCCTTCAGCTTGGTTTCGAAGCTCCAATTATCATTGACTGGAGGAAAAACTCCCCCACAAACAGTTGCGAAAAGGAAGAACTTCCGTTCAAACTCAAAATACCTATAAATTATAAATAGAAAAAACAACAACAACACAAACCACACTGAGGCAAGGCAGGATAAGGGCTTGAAGACATCGACAGATATCAAAATACACACACTGGGAAGGATACCAGAACTCAGATAAGAACTGAAAGACTAGAATTATTTCACGCTTTGCTTCCAGCACTGGGCCATGCGCGGTTTGTCCTTATAAACAGTCCTCACAGCTGCAGCCCGTGAAGGGGATCAGGGCCCTTTCCTCCCCCGTAGACGCCATTCACGTTGATCCCTTCTCCGCTCCTCCCTGCGTGCCCTAGGATGAAGAGGGAATGGGCCTGGGTCTTCCTCTGAATGCCCAGCTGGGCTGTGCCCTTCCCCAGTTTCCTCCACAACCTCCGGAGCCACACTCCCACTCCCTGTCGGCTGTTCCTCCTCTCCCTCGGGGTCAGACTCCAACAGGGGCATGACATGGCCCTTGAGTTGGGGCCTGCACACTGTCAAGGTTGATGTCGGCCACCGCCCCTCCAGCAACCAAATCAGAGGAGGAGGAGGAGGCGGCCTGTGAGTCAGGGTCAGCATCAAGGCAACCTGAGAGCTCTGAGGGGGAAGAGAGAATGGAGCTGGCAGAGAGAGAGAGAGAGAGAGAGAGAGAGAGAGAGAGAGAGAGAGGGAGGGGCAGAGCCTGGCCATCCGTCAGCCCTCAGATTGAGAGTCAACAGCTGGGGCTGATGAGGAAGAGGAGGAACAGCTGTGTCCAGTGTCAGGATTCTGACAGATGCCCTAATTAAACTATGAGCCTCGAGCCAAGTTGCAAAAGAAATCCAGTTATTTATTAGGAGAAACATGTCAGCACATACCCAGATGAAATGAGCTCTGTCTCACATAATTTACGGCCCACCTATGACCCTGTCTCCCCCCTCCCCCCCAGGGTATGTCATAAATCATGTTCTCCAACGGAGCACTTTCCCGGGCTGTAAAGATCACGCCTCTCCGGTTGGTCCTGGTAGCCTGGGATACAGCCTTGAAGAAGGTATGCGTGGAATGTGCTTCTCATTGTGGCTGACGTGCTGCTCCGTCAGTTTTCCCCTCCTCCTGCCTATGGCAACTCGAAAGCAGGCCAGGAATGCTTTACAAGTTGATGTTCAGTGCCTGATGCGCAGAAGGCAGAGGAGAGGAGAGCAGTGGAAATCTATGGGCCGGTCCTTGGGACGGAACAGCCACTGCTGCTAGTGAAGCCCCACCCTAGATCTGGGGATAAAAGGCAGGCGGCGGAGATGAATAAATGTGGCAGACAACTATTCATCTCCCCTGCCGGACAGACTTGTTAGCCTGTGGTGAGAGAGAAAGACTTCTTGACAGGGCTGCCAGTTAATTGATTTAACTGCAGAGGGTTTGTTGTGTTTGGGGAGAGGGAGCTGGGTCAGAACAGTAGAATTATGACATCTCTCGATTACCGTCTGAAGCCACCGGGTGGTAGAAGCTGAATTTAAAAAAAAGAAACTTCCTAACTGTCTGTTCAGACAAATTCAGCACCAGAAAAGTAAACACAGATGACTGAGGCTTCGTTTAACTTCTTTATAAACATATAAAGTCAATTTTACAATACCAGTTGTAGAGTTCTCCAACATGAAGCAAACTCAAACTGAAGCAGACAGCAACTCGGGAGTTCAGAAACAGACATCAGTTTCACTTTAGTTCAGCAGGCAAGCAAGACACACAGCAGAGGAGAGAAGCAGTTTCATCTTCAATAGACAGACTCAGAGCTTAACATAGCTTCAGAGCTGCAGAGCTTAATATAGAGCCACTCCTAGGCTACTTCTAGTTGCAGTTTGCAAACAGTCCTCATTGGCTGACTTGGTTGCTATGCCTATTCATTGGCTGACCTTGTTACCATGCTCTACTCCAGTTCATGAATATACTTTGACACTGTCAAATGGTTAACACTTCCAAATTTTCGCCATGAGGTACTTAAGAGGTGGTTCTCGACTTACGACCGTTAATTTAGTCACCCTTTGAAGGTGCAAGGGCCCACAAGAAGTGACGTAGGACTGGTTTTTACACTAAGCATGGTTGCCGTGTTCCCCATGGCCACGTGATCAAAATTCAGGCACTTGGGGGTTGCAGGATCCTGCAATCCATTCTTTTGTAACCTTCTGACAAGCCGAATCAGCAGATTCACTTTACAACCGGGTTACTAACTGAACAAGGGCAGCAACTCATCGCCATTGCGGCGGGAAAGGTCGCAAAATGGGGCCCAACTCACCTGTCTCACATGGCAATGGACATTTTGGGGTTCAATGGGGATCGTAAATCCAGGACTGCCCGTATAAAAGCATTTTGTAAGGTTGCTTCCTTTTGTGGCGGACTTTTTTTCTGTTGTTTGAGCCCCGAACTGTCCTCTGCTTGACAGCTTTAACAACCTCGGGATCCAGTGTGTGAAGAAGAAGGACATAGAGGAATCCATAGACAAAAAGCTACAACTCGGAATTGACCCTTTCAAAGGTGAGAAGAACTCTCTGGCGTGTGTATGTGGGTGGACAGACAACAGTTATTTTGAGAGTTGAATGCAGCGAAATTTAATTATAAGGTATGTGCTGATTAGTGTACACCTAAAGTGACAATAGAGTTCTATTCTATTGTTCTATTTTCTATTCTCCTCTCCTCTCCTCTATACCCTACCCTACCCTACTGGTATTCTATTCTAATTCTATTCTAATTCTATTCTAATTCTATTCTAATTCTATTCTATTCTATTCTATTCTACTCTACTCTATTCTACTCTACTCTACTCTACTCTACTCTACTCTACTCTACTCTACTCTACTCTACTCTACTCTACTCTGCACCCTACCCTACCCTACCCTGCCCTACTGGTATTCTTTTCTATTTCTATTCCATTCTA